ATCCATCCATCGTTTGGGCTCCTTTTCCCCTGGAGGAGCCCTGGGGGCTCGCAGGGATTGCAGGGACCATTCCCAGGGAAGGCTGGGCTGGGAGGGCTGGAACCCCTGGCTGGAGGAGCCTTCTGCTCCCTGCCCTGCTCCAGGAGGATTCCCTGGCTGGAAGCTCCCTCTGCTCCCTGCCATCCCCCAGAGGATCCCGGCTTTAGGAGCCTTCTGCTCCCTGCTCTGCTCCAGGAGAAGCCGCTGCCGCCTGCAGATGGTGCCAGAGACGGGACAAAGCTGGGCAGTGCTGCTGCTCCGGGGTAAAGCCGGGAAACGAGGGGAAATGGGGGGGAAATCTGTCCCCAGGGTGTTCCAGGGGGTTCACGCCACATCCCTTGTCCGTCCTGTCTCTGTAGGCTGGACCGGAGATCCCACGGGCCGCCCCTTCCCACCCGATTCTGGGTTCTGGCTGTTCCATGAGCGTCTCCCCTGGCTGGGAATCTCCTTGCAGACGCTTCCATCCATCTCTCAGTGCTCCACACGGGCTAGAAGTGCCCAGGGACACCGCGGAGGCGGTGGCACTGTCCTTTCCCAGGTTTATCCCCTGTGGATGCGTTTTCTCCCCCATGGATGGGGTTTATCCCCCTGAATGGGGTTTATCCTCTGTGGATGTGGTTTATTCCCTGTGGATGTGGTTTATCCCCTGTGGATGGGGTTTATCCCATGTGGATGGGGTTTACCCTCCGTGGATGGGGTTTATCCCCCATGGATGGGGTTTATCCTCTGTGGATGTGGTTTATCCCCCATGGATGTGGTTTACCCTCTGTGGATGTGGTTTATCCTCTGTGGATGAGGTTTATCCCATGTGGATGGGGTTTACCCTCTGTGGATGTGGTTTATCCCATGTGGATGGGGTTTATCCCCCATGGATGTGGTTTATTCCCTGTGGATGTGGTTTACCCTCCATGGATGGAGTTTATCCCCCATGGATGGGGTTTATCCCATGTGGATGGGGTTTATCCCCCATGGATAGGGTTTATCCCCCATGGATGGGGTTTATCCTCCATGGATGGGGTTCATGCATGGGGTTTACCCTCCGTGGCTGACCCAGCTGGCTCCCAAATGGAGCATTTCGCAGGGATGGCATTCCCCTCTCCACGTTTGGGCTGTGTTTGCTGGGAGGTGAGAACTTTACAGAGCAGAGTAATGAGCACATGTGGCTGAGCCACTGCTGGGAGCTCATCTGGGCCTGCCCTGCTCCTCGGGAGCAGCTGGGGAGCAAAGAGAGGCAGCAGAGGGAGCTGCCCCGGCACAAGTGCAGCAGCTTGACCCCCTTTCCCCCTGACAGGGCTGTTACCTTTTAGGATCAAAGCTTTTCACATTTGGTCGCTGCTCTTGAAGGAGCTCAAGTGTTTCCACTGCAGCCCTGAGTGATTCTGGCTCTGCTCCTGCCACCCAGCCCCGCTCTGCTCTGTGAGCAGCTCCTTGAAACTGGAGTTTACAAAAATAAAACCCAGATTAAAGCCAGAGCAGCTGCCCCGAGGTTTAAATCGATGCTGGTATGATGTGCTGCCAAAGAGAGAATTACTCAGGAGTGTGGATTAGAGCTGTTTGTCTCCAGGAAGACCTGCTCTTCAAAGCCAGGGAATTTTCCCAGCTCTGGCTGGTGCATCTTCAGACACGAGGCTCTGGTGCCTTGCTCCGTGGGCACCAGCCTGAGTGATCTCGTTTTTATCTCAGCTGCTTCATCTCCTTTCTTCCTCTTCATCTCTTTCTTCCCGTCTGCTTTGGTATTCTCCCATGCTCCTGCTTTGGCTGGAATCCGCTGGCCAGGGCTGCCCTCCAGCCCTCCCGGTGCTGCCTCTCACCAGCTGTAAAAACTTCAAGGCTTTCAAAAATATTTTTCTTCCTGTTGGGAGAGAGGTTCC